ACACACACACACACACACACACACACACACACACACACACACACACACATATATATATATATATTCATAGCAACAGTTAGAGCTGGAGCTATGTCAAGTATTCTAAATCCAGAGTTGTTCGTACAATTTTGTGCGGCATGTACATTGCCCTCTATCATAACATTCACAGCTGCAGCTAGGGTAATCAGTGGAAAATGTGCTCATACATATGGTTTACTATCTCCTTCTATCGAGACTTGAAGTTCAGCTTGCCAAATCTCGTTTGCACTGCTTTGGCTTGCTGCAGGCATTATCTTGTTTGAGATGTTGACGGGAGAAACACCGTTCTATGATGATTCTGTTCTGCAGGTACGTTCGTTTGTATGGTTACTGTTTAGATGTTGCAACTCGAGTTAAGTTGCGCGGCTTCATGAAATCGCTTTTAGACGTACCATCTTTAGACGCAACTATGCATGTATGTTTATGAGTATTAGTGTATGTGTTATAAGTACACTATAAATAACGTCCGTCTAGGCTATTGTACATGTGTCTCTGTTTGGTTTTGTCTATTATACATGTGTCTCTGTTTGTGTTAGTGTATGTGTTATAAGTACACTCTATATATAACTTCCTCATGAGCTATTCTACACGTGTCTCTGTTTGAATTAGTGAATGTGTTGTAAGTACACTCTATATATAACATCCTCATGAGCTATTCTACACGTGTCTCTGTTTGAATTAGTGAATGGTTGTAAGTACACTCTATATATAACATCCGTATGAGCTATTATACATGTGTCTCTGTTTGTATTAGTGTAATAAGTACACCCTATATATAACTTCCTCAGGAGCTATTCTACACGTGTCTCTGTTTGAATTAGTGAATGGTTGTAAGTACACTTTATATATAACATCTTTATGAGCTATTATACATGTGTCTCTGCTTGTATTAGTGTAATAAGTACACTCTATATATAACATCCTCATGAGCTATTCTACACGTGTCTCTGTTTGAATTAGTGAATGGTTGTAAGTACACTCTATATATAACATCCTTATGAGCTATTGTACATGTGTGGTCGATATTAAGCACATGCATGCGTGTGTATATGTACTGTGTTCTAGGCGTATCGAACGCATTCGCATATCAAGGAAAACTTTCCTTCACAGATGAGTGTTAATTTAGTGTATATAGTACATATACGGCATACAAACAATTTTGCTTCACAGATGGGAGCGAATGAAGTTTATATAGTACACATGCTGGATGCCAGCTATTTTGATACTAGCGAGTGCATTTGACGGTGTTTCATTGTCCAACAAGGAACAAAAACATGTACATACAATATAATACACCCATTCAACTAAACGTATACACACCAATGAACTCACACACACGCACTTACACACCTCCACCAACCCTAGGTATATCACAAAATAGAAAACTATCAGAAATGCTTATGCTTTGACGGGTACGAAGGAATAACGGTATCAGCTGATGCACAAGACCTTGTGAGAGGCATGATCCAAGAGCAGAGTAGTCGCTTGGGTGCGGGGGGTGTGGCGGAAATCATGAATCACCGCTGGTTTAACGGCACGGATTGGGACCAGGTGTGGGGATATATACAAACACACACACACACACACACACACACACACACACACACACACACACACACAATATATATATAT